AGCAATTTGTAACTTGTTTGCATCAACACACAAGAAGTTTGACATCATCCAAGGCTAGCTTGATTGGCACACCATCCAATTCGTTCAACATCCACTGGCGCTCAGTAGCAGCAGTGTGTTCCATCTACAAGAGGCACTGCAGAAATTCACTAAGGCTCCTTTGACAACACCTTACAAACTCATAGCCTCCACCAGGCAGCCGACACTTGGGAGCACCATTACCTGCAGGTTCCCCTCAATTTTGCTGGAGCAGCAATTAATCCAAGCAAGCGCAGAGTATTACGTCAGATCAATTCTCATAATCTTAGAATGAGAGTTGCATATTCAAGATGGAGATGAGGAGGAATTCCTTCCCTCAGATCGTAGTGGATCTGTGGAATTCTTTTCCATTGAGTGCTACTGAGGCTGTGTCATTAACCAAATTCAAGGTTGAGGTAGATTTTTAATCAGTAAAGGAATCAAGGGTTGGGAGAAAGGACAGAGAAGTGGAGTTGAGAGTTATCAGATCAGCCATGATCTCATTGAATAGCAAACCAAACTCAATGAGCTGAATGGCCTCCTTCTGCCCCTATGTCTTATGGCCTTTTGATCTAATGACTTGTGGGCTGTGGGTGGTTGCATGGATTTAGCAAGGCCAGAAACCAGACATGGACCACATATGCTCAGCCCTGCTTTAGTGGCAAAGGGTAATCTCGTGGCTGTTGACATCAGGTACTGGTTTGGAATGAGTGACAATAACCTAGCACAACCTGCTCGTTTGTTCATGGGATTAAAAAGTGTTCATGGCAGGGACTTCGGATAGTCATGGGGTAGTGCCCTTCACCCTTGGGAATTTTGCAATTAAGTAAAATTCCTTCTCATGTCCAGCTGCTCCTGTTTTCTAGAGGAATAGTCATTCCAATCTGACACGTCTCCCTGAATGTTTTGGCATTTGTCCCCTGAATTGCTTGTGATGGACTGAGTGGTATAAAACACTGAAGTGGAGATAAGTCTCTGAACTGAGGGGTGAGTGACTCCTACCCTGAAAATTAAGGTTTCAGAGTTACGGTGTAATGGAAATATTTGCAATGTAAAAAATGATATTCAGAAATATGGACTAATCAACAAAGGAATTTGGTAAGGACATGTACAACTCAATACTCAAAAGTGCTACATTTTCTAGAAATCTCGCTTATAAGGTCAGACAAATTTAGATAAGAAATTCACCAAGGCTCCTTAGCCAGCACCCTCCAAACCCATGACCACTTCTATCTAGAAGGACAAGGGCAGCAGATACATTGGAACGCCACCACCTACAAGTTCCCCTCCAAGCCACTCACTATCCTGACTTGGAAATAAATCACCATTCCTTGACTGTCACTGGGTCAAAATCCTGGAATTCCCTCCCTAACACCTCTACAGGTGTCCCTGCATTAAATAGACTGCAGTGGTTCAAGAAAGCAGCCCATCACCAACATCTCAAGGGCAATAAATGTCGGCCCAGCCAGTGACACTGAAATCCCTTAAATTACGCAAAAGAGATGATGGCCTAGTGGTATTATCGCTGGACTGTGAATCCAGAAACCCAATAATGTTCTGGGGACTTGGGTTTGAATCCCACCATGGCAGATGGTGGAATTTTAATTAAATAACTGTCTGGAATTCAGAGTCTAATGATGACCATGAATCCATTGTCGATTGTTGGGAAAACCCCCTGGTTCACTAATGTCCTTTAGGGAAGGAAACTGCCACCCTTACCTGGTCTGGTCTACATGTGACTCCAGACCCTCAGCAATGTGGTTGACTCTTAACTGCCCTCTGGGCAATTAGGGATGGGCAATAAATGCTGCCTGGCCAGCGACGCCTTCATCCTGTGAATCAATAAAGAAAAAAAAAGAAAATCAGAGGAGAGATGTGAAGAGAGATTATGAATAAAAACTGGCAGCTAACATAAAGGGAAATCCCAAAGTCTTCGAAAGGCATGTCAGTAGTGAAAGGATGATAAAGGGAGGAGTAGAACCAACTCAGGACCGAGAAAAGGGGATTTACACATCGATGCAGAAGGCATGGCTGAGTGTTAAATTAATACTTCACATCTGCCTTTAAATATGAGGCAAATGTTGTCCAAGACATGGTACTGGGGAAGAAATTTAGATTCTGGAAATTGATAAATCAGAGATTTTGGATGAACTGCCAACACTTAAAGGTGATAAGGTGTCAGGACTGGATACGATGTATTCAGGTCCTGAAGGTAGTGAGAGTGGAAATTGCTGAGGCATTGATCATAATCTTTCGGTCTTACCTGGGCTCAGGAGTTTAGTCAGAGGACCAGAGAATTGCAGAAACTAAGTCCTTTTTACTAAGTTTTTATTCAAAAAAGTTTGTGTAGATAAGCCAATTTTTCAGTTTAATTTTAGTCAGAAATCACACAACTCCAGGTTTTAGTCCAATAGGTTATTTGAAAACACAAGCTTTTGGAGCCTCGTGAGGCAATATTTGAGATAGAATTAACAAAGATTGTATGAATATATGAATAGCCACATGGAAAAATGTGAATTAATTCCAAAGAATCAGCATGGATTTATTAGTGGAAAATGAATATCTAACTTGCTGAAAGAGGTAACACGGAAGTTGATAAGAGTAAGTCTGTTAATGTGGTGTACATGGATCTCCAAAAGATGTTCGATGCAGTACTGCAGTGAGAAAAATTGTACCTCATGAAATAGAAGAGACAAAGTTGGTTAAGTGATGGAGTGAATGGGTATTAAGGGCTAGAGAGGGGTTTGTGCAAGAAGTGTTTGATGACACTAAGATGAGTGGTAGGGCAAAGTGTGCAGAGGACTCTGAAAGTTTGCAGAGGGATATAGATAGTCTAAGTGAGTGGGCAAAGATCTGGCAGATGGAGTACAATGTTGATAAATGTGAAGTCATCCATTTTGGTAGGAATAACAGGAAAATGGACTATTTGAACAGTAAGAAATTGCAGCATGCCGCTGTGCAGAGGGACCTAGGTGTCCTTGAGTATGAATCACAGAACGTTGGTTTGCAGGTGCAACAGGTAATTAAGAAGGCAAATGTAATATTGTCCTTCACTGCTAGAGGCATGGAGTTTGAAAACAGGGAGAAAACAAAAACAGAGTTGTTGTAAAAGCTCAGCAGGTCTGGCAGCACCTATGAAGGTAAAAACAGAGTTAACATTTCAGGTCTGCTGACCCTTCCTCAGAACTGGGCCCCTGTTCTTTGTGAAATATATATAACTGATTTGGAGGAGAATGTAGGTGGCCTGATTGGTAAGTTTTCAGATGATATAAAGATTGGAGGAGCTGCAGACTGTGATGAGGATTGTTAGAGAATACAGCAGGATATAGATAGGCTGGAGAAATGGGTGTAAAAATAGCAGATAGAGTTTAATCTGGACAAATGCAGGGTAATGCATTTTGGACCATCTAATGCAGGAAGGAAGTGTATAGTAAATGGCAGAACCTTTAATAGTATCAACATATGGAGGGGATCTAAGCGTACACGACCACAGTTCCCTGAAAGTGGCAAAACAAGTTGAAAAGGTGATCAAGAAGGCAAATGGCATGCTTGTCTTCGTCGGTCGGGACATAGAGTATAAAAATTTGCAATTCATGTTGCAACTGTATAGGACTTTGTTTAGGCCACATTTGGAATTTTCCATACAGTTCTGGCCGCCACACTACCAGAAGGATATGGAGGTTTTGGAAAAGATACATAAACGGTTTACCAGGATGTTAAATAACAAAGTGTAGAGCTGGATGAACACAGCAGGCCAAGCAGCATCAGAGGAGCAGGAAAACTGACATTTCTTCAGAAAGTGAAGAAGCGTCCAGACCTGAAACGTCAGCCTTCCTGCTCCTCTGATGCTGCTTGGCCTGCTGTGTTCATCCAGCTCTACACCTTGTTATCTCAGATTCTCCGGCATTGGCAGTTCCTACTACCCCTTACCAGGATGTTGCCTGGTTTGGAAAGTATTAGATATGAGGTGAGACTGGACAAACTCAATTTGTTTTCACTTGAACCTCAGAGGCTGAGGGCCAGCCTGATAGAAGTTTACAAAATTATGAGAGGCAAGGATAGTTTGCATAGCCAGAGTCTTTTCCCCAGGGTAGAAATGTCAATTATTAGGGGACGTAGGTTTGAGGTAGAAGGGAGTAGAACATAGAACATAGAACATAGAACATTACAGCGCAGTACAGGCCCTTCGGCCCTCCATGTTGCACCGACCTGTGAAACCAATCTGAAGCCCATCTAACCTAAACTATTCCATTGTCATCCATATGTTTATCCAATGACCATTTAAATGCCCTTAAAGTTGGCGAGTCTACTATTTTTGCAGGCAGGGCATTCCACGCCCTTACTACTCTCTGAGTAAAGAACCTACCTCTGACATCTGTCCTATATCTATCACCCCTCAATTTAAAGCTATGTCCCCTCGTGCTAGCCATCACCATCCGAGGAAAAAGGCTCTCACTGTCCACCCTATCTAATCCACTGATCATCTTGTATGTCTCTATTAAGTCACCTCTTAACCTTCTTCTCTCTAATGAAAACAGTCTCAAGCCCCTCAGCCTTTCCTCATAAGACCTTCCCTCCATACCAGGCAACATCCTGGTAAATCTCCTCTGCACCCTTTCCAATGCTTCCACATCCTTCCTATAATGCGGTGACCAGAACTGTACACAATACTCCAAGTGCGGCCGCACCAGAGTTTTGTACAGCTGCAACATGACCTCACGGCTCCGAAACTCAATCCCTCTACCAATAAAACCTAACACACCGTACGCCTTCTTAACAACCCTATCAACCTGGGTGGCAACTTTCAGTGAAGTAAGCTTAAAGAAGATGTGAAAGGTGAATTCTTTTACACAGAGTGCCTGGAATATGCTGCCAGAGGAGGTGATGGAGGCAGATACAACTGCAATATTTAAAAGGCATCTTGACAGATACATGAATAGGCAGGGAATAGAGGGATGCAGACTGTGTAGAGACAAAAGGTTTTTAATTTAGAAAGGTATCTTGTTTTGGAATAGATTTGGTGGGCCGAAGGGCCTGTTCCTGTGCTATACAGTTCTTTGTTCTTTGTTTGTAGTGGAGCTCCCCAGGAAGTCAATATTGGGACACTTGCTTTCTCTGATATATCCAGATCTTGGTGCACGGGGAACAATTTTAAAATTTGTGGTCAGTCCAAAACTTGAAAACAGTGAGGAGGACAGGACAGAACTTCCAAAGGTCATTGACAGGTGAGTGGAGTACGCGGTTAGGTGGCAGATGAAGTTTAATGTGGAAAAATGTGAGATGATGCACTTTGGTACAAAGAACATGGAGAGACCCTTTAAAATAAAGGTCGCTATTCTAAAGGAGGTACAGGAGCAGAGAGACCCAGGTGTATATAAAAACTGAAAGAACTGCGGATGCTGTAAATCAGGAACAAAAACAAAGTTGCTGGAAAAGCTCAGCAGATCTGGCAGCATCTGTGAAGGAGAAAAGAGAGTTAACGTTTCGGATCTCTGAGGAAGGGTCACGGACCCAAAACGTTAACTCTGTTTTCTCCTTCACAGATGCTGCCAGACCTGCTGAGCTTTTCCAGCAACTTTGTTTTTGACCCAGGTGTATATGTTCATTAGTCAATTACAGTGGCAGCATAGGTGGAGAGAGCAGTTAATAACGCATTGAATATAATGGGGACATCGGTACAAAGTAGGTAGGTTATGCTGAACTTAGATAGGACACTAGTCAGATCTCAGCTGGAGTATTTTGTCTAGCCCTGGGTTCCACACTTTAGAAGAAATGTGAACACATCGGAGTGAGTACAGAAGCAGATTAAAAGAATGGTTCCAGGGATGAGATACTTCAGTTATGAGGAAAGGTTAGAGAAGCTTTCTTTGGAGAAGAAGGCTAAGAGAAGATCTGATAGAAGTTTTCAAAAGCATGAGGGGGTCCAGATAGGGCAGACAGGGAGAAACTGTTCCCACTCTGAAACAGATTGAGTACCAGAGCTTTGCAAAAGAAGCAAATGTGAGGTGACAATAAAAGAACTTCTTCACATGGAAAGTGATTGGGGCCAGGAATGCATTGCCTGGAAGTGTGGTAGAGGCAGGGTCAAGCGAGGTATTCAAGAGGCCACTCAATAATTTTTAAAATTGAAACTTTATGGAGAAAAGGCAAGCTATTATGGCTGTCATGGTAGCTCAGTGGTCAGCACTGCTGCCTCACAGGGCCAGGGATGCGGGTTCGATTCCAGCCTCAGGTGACTGTCTGTGTGGAGTTTGAACATTCTCTCTGTGTCTGCGTGGGTTTCCTCTGGGTGCTCCATTTTCCTCCCACAATCTAAAGACGTGCAGACTATGTTAATTAGCGATGGGAAATGTGTGTTAATGGGATAGGGTAAAGAAGGTAGGTTTGGGTGGGGATGCTGTTCAGTGGGTTGTTGTGGATTTGATGGGCTTAATGGCATGCTTTCACACTGTAGGGAATCTATGAATTAGCATCAAGTTAAAATGCTCAGGGAGCTGATGCAGACACAGGGGCTGAATGGCCTCATTCTGCCCTATAGCAATCTTATGATCCTGCATTATAACCCCTATGGAGGAGCATGATGACCCAAGGTGGTTGGCGGGGGGGGCACTTCACAGGAGAAAATGACACTTGATATTGAGCCTCATAGAGAGCTGTTAGGGCAGATGACCATACGTTGGTCAAAAGAAGGGATTCAAGGACCATTTTCAAAGTGGAGCTGGTTCGGGGGCTGTTCCAGAGTTTAGGGTCCAAGCAGCTAAAGGTGCAGCCACCAATGGTGGTGGAATGTGCAAGATGGCAGAACTGGGGAGGTCCAGCGACCTTGGAAGGTGTAAGGTTTGTCAAGGTCACACAGGTAGAGAACAGTAAGTGTTCAACATTCAACGTCACTGTGTTATTCAAAGAAATAGTGAGAAATTAAACTGGGACCATATAACATCAGCTTTTCAGAAGTGACATACAAAGATATGAAAGATACATGAAGACCACTATTCAGGTCATTGGCAGTGTTGAATTTTGGCCCTTGTTCATTGGAGGTGGGTGGGGGAGTCTGGCCCCATTTTACCCCTGGTCTCATCCTGCCTTCTGTTAATTCTAATCCCCAGACCATTCCTCAGTCCCACTTCCCATTCTCCCTTCAGTCGTAGCCCCAGCTCTAAACCTCAGTTTTATCCCCAGCTCTCCTCTCTTGTTTCCAATCATCAGTCCATTACCCACCTCCCTCTTGAAGCCTCAGCCTTGACTCCTCCCCTCAGTCCATGACTTCAGGCTATCAAAGACTGTTATACATGCTGAGCAGAAATTCCCATCACATCAGATTGTTAGATTCTTCAGTCAAACCGCAACAGAAACCGAACAGAACTTGAAGTTGGTGTAAGGAGGTAAGGCAGGAGACTGCCCATGTGGGGAAAAGTACCAGACTAAAGACTGTTTGAATCTTCAGTGATGTTGGTTGAGAGGGAGAGATCCACATTGTTGTCTGCTTTGGTACAGTAGTATTGTATAGAATTCCATACTGTACTGTGAGCTGAGGCACTTTGTTGTGCAGAGTAAGGGGAGCTCTACTGTGTATCTAACCGCGTGCTGTCCCTGCCCTGGGAGAGTTTGATGGGGACAGAATAAGGGGAGCTGTACTCTATATCTAACCCCGTGCTGTCCCTGTCCTGGGAGTGTTTGATGGGGACAGTGTAGAGAGAGCTTTACTCTATATCTAACCCCGTGCTGTCCCTGTCCTGGGAGTGTTTCTTGGGGACAGTGTAGAGAGAGCTTTACTCTATATCTAACCCCATGCTGTCCCTGCCTTGGCAGTGTTTGATGGGGACAGTGTAGAGAGAGCTTTACTCAGTATCTAACTGCATGCTGTCCCTGTTCTGGAGGTTTTTGATAGGAACAGCGTAGAGGATGCTTTATTCTGAATTTAACTCCTTGCTGTACCTGCCCTGGGAGTGTTTGATGGAACAATGTAGAATGACTTTTAGTCTGTACCTAATGCTGTCTTATACCTGCCCTTGTCCTGAGAGTGTTTCTTGGGGACAGTGTAGAGGAAGCTTTACTCTGTATCTAACTCCATGCTGTGCTGTACCTGGCATGTGGGTGATGTGGATTTTGGGGAATGGTTGTGGGGCAAAGTAGAGGGCTGTTTACTCTGTATCTAACTCTGCACTGTGCCTACCTTGCAAGTCTTCATTGAAGACATTGTAGAGAGAGATACTCTGTGTATCTAACCCCGTCCTTAACCTGTACAAACGAATACAGCACAGGGTTCGTACCTGTACTGGGAACATTTAATGAGTATGGCATAGAGGGAACTTTACTCTGTGTCTACCCATATGCTGTACCTGTCCTGTGTGTGTTTGAAGGGGAAGGTGTAATGGGAGCTTTACTTAGATCGAAAACATTCCATACCTAACTCTATAAAGCTCCAGCAACTCTCTAGGGAAGATATAGTTTGACTCAGATACAAAACAAAACTTCCTCTACGTTGCCCTATTTAACACCCCTCAACCAGCTGACATATAAGGCACTGAAACTGCAAGATTCAAGAGAAAGTTAATTCTTCTTATTTCTGTGCCTGCTTACTGGTAACATTAAGACAATCCTATCAGCAATGGAGAGCAAGCAATGTAACGGAGATAAAAAAGGATTTATTCTCAGTGACGTTGTGGTTGATAAAATTGAACTAAAATCCTGGAGAAAATGCTAGGCATACGTTTCTGTGAAAACGTTAAAGTTTCAAGGACGTTTGGAGAGCTGAATAAGATTGGTTAAAGGGCTAACAAAGATAAATTGACTTATTCAGATCACAAAACTGTGCTCGCATGTCAATCAACGCCACCACAAAGCTGTGAGTAATTTCTAAATATAATTTGTAGCAAGGGGTGCTCAGAACAGGGGATGTTGTAACAGAAAGTCAAGTCTGGAGGGCAGATGGCTGATGGCTTATCCTGGAAAGCATAAAGCGATCTTAAAGTAATAAAATAAGAATAAACTACAGTAGATTCTGAAAATCTGAAACAAAATGACGGAGAAACTCTGCAGCTCTGGCAGCATCTGTAGAGAGATAGAAATGTAGAGAAAGTTAATGTTTTGAGTTTGGTATGACTTCTTCAGAGAGCCATCCTACTTCTCTATCAGCAGAGGTAATACATTTGAAAGCTGCATTAGTACTATACCTGATTTATATCAATTTTTGTTAATAGGATTCGGTTTGATAACAAGTCTGGGATGGGTAAAAGCATAGATGCTGAATTAAGTATGGCAAACTTTGATGTGACAGGAGGTTATTTGATCACAGTGGTATTGTCCTGGTAATGGAATAGCCTAGACAAACAGGAGCATTTGTTAGAATATAAAGCAAATGCATGAACTTAAAAAACAACAGCTTCACTTAAATTACTGGAGCACTAATGGAGTGTCTCACAGAACATTTCTGGTGGGATTGGGGTAGAAGGGAAGGGGACTGTGAGACTAATGGGTTGAGGTATGAAAAAGACAAATCAGTCTTCAAAGCCCCTGACCATGGGAAGATTAAGATGCAGTCCAAGGTTCGGATCCAACTGAGGCCTGTGTTATTCACCAAATGTTAAAAGGGCAATAAATGCAAGTTGCATGAGGGACTAATCACTAGAAAAAAAGAAAGTTGATGTGTGATATGATAGAGGTCATTAAAATGATAAAGGAACTCTGAAGGTTAGATGAAGTGAAGAATAATCCAGAGTGGTACGGTGGCCCAGTGGTTAGCACTGCTGCCTCACGGGACGTGGGTTTGCATGTTCTCCTTGTGACTGCGGGGGGTTTCCTCCAGGTACTCCGGTTTCCTCCCACAGACCAAAGATGTGCAGGTTGGGTGGATTGGCCATGGGAAATGCATGGTTACGGGGATAAGGTTGGTCTGGCTGGGATGCTTTTTGGAGGGTTATTGTGGACTTGATGGGCCGATTAGCCTGCTTCTGTGCTATAGGGAATCTATGAATTATTTGGGTGTCCAAATTGAGTCCTAAGTAAAACACAGTCTCAATTGAACAATAAATTCAGGGCAATCTAACAAAGATGTGCTTAAAAGATAAATAAACATTAGGTAGAAAGGAGTCAAAGAATATCCTGATAAAGTGAGTTGCATAGGGATGTGGAGCAGAAACACCGGCCTGGACATATCAAACTGCTTTACGCTGCGCTCAACTACAATGTAGGTAAATAAAATAGTATATTTTTAAAAATACTTGCTGTGGATATCAAAGCAAACAGGAGGCAAAAGCTTTGCTAAATATTAAGAACTAGAATAGTGAAGAAGAAAGTTGGTCCATTCATAACTGCTGAAGGTGAGACCAGAATGGATCATAAGGAAATGGCAGACTTAGATTCATTGAGTCATATAGCACGGAAACAGATCCTGCGGTCCAAGCAGTTTGTGCAGACCATAATCCCAAACTAAACCAGTCCTATCTGCCTGTGCTTGGCCCATAACCCTCCAAACACTCCTTATTTATGTACTTATCTAAATGTCTTTTAAATGCTGTAACTGTACTCACATTCACCACTTCCTCTGCAAGTTTATTCCACACACAAATGACTCTCCATGTAAAATTGCGCCTCATATTTTTTACAAATGCTCTCCTCTCACCTGATAAAATGCCCACAGTCTTGAAATCCCTGATCCCAGGAAAAAGACAAGTGCCATTCACCTTATCTGTACTCCTCATGATTTTATAAACCTCTATAAGGTCACCTCTCAACCTCCTATGCTCCAGTGAAAAAAGTCCCAGCTTATCCAGCCTAATGTTTATAACTCAAACCTTCCATTGCTTGGCAACGTCCTGGTAAATCTCTTCTGAACCCTCTCCAGCTTGATAATATCCTTCCTCAGAAAGACAACCAGAACTGGACACAGCATTCCAAAAGAGGTCTCACCAATGTCCTGTAAACCTCAACCTGACGTCCCAGGCCCTGTACTCAAAGAGCTGAACAATGAAAGCAGGCATGCAAAGCACTTTCTTACCCACCCCATCTCTATGTGATCCAAATTTCAAAGAATTATGTAACCAAATCCTTAGGTCTCTCTGTTCTACAACACTTATGGGTGGCATGGTGGCTCGGTGGCTCAGTGGTTAGCACTGCTGCCTTATAGCACCAGGGACATGGGTTCAATTCCACCCTCAGGCAACTGTCTGTGTGGAATTTGCATGTTCTCCCTGTATCAGTGTGGGTTTCCTCTGGGTGCTCTGGTTTCCTCCCACGATCCAAAGATGTGCAGGCTAAGTTGATTAGCCTTGCTAAATTGTCCATAGTGTTCAGGGATGTGTAGATTAGGTGAGTTATAGGGGGATGGGTCTGGGTGGGATGCCCTGAGGGTCAGTGTGGACTTGATGGGCCAAAGGGCCTGTTTCCACACTATGGAGATTCTAAGCACTTGTTTTTTGCTGTAGAGGAAGTGCAAATGCAAGCAATAATCGGTTAAAGGGTCTTTGTGATTGAAGATAACACTTCAAAACAGTAATGGAGAAAATGTTGGAACTTAAGTTCAACAAATTTCTGAGGACCTGACGTTTTTTCCTCCAGGCTATAAAGAGGAATGGGTAAAAACGTGTTGAGCTGAGGTGATGGTGTCATGATAATGTCACTGGATTAGTAATCCAGAACCCCAGACTAATGTTGTGGCAAAGTGGATTTGAATCTCACAATGGCAGTTGAAGAAGTTTGAATTTACTAAACATAGAATTAAAAGGCCAGTTCAATGATGATTATTTAGATCAGTAACATCCTTCAGGGAGGGAAATCTGCCGTCTTTATCTCGTCAGGACTACATATGACTCCAGACCCATGACAGTGTGGTTGACTCCAGTTGCCCACTCTAATGGCAAGGTACGCAGATCAAGGGGTAATTAGTCCCAAATTTCCAAAGCTCGCCAGATTCAGCAAATTGGTTTATATGTTGGCAAATGCCATTCCATTATTTAAAGTCAAAAGAAGAAATCAGCGATAAATTTTCTTTCTTAAAATGAGTCACACCGAGCTGATTTTCACCCAATGAAGTATATCCAGGGATTGAGGGATATCAACTAATCAAAGGGCAGGATGGGCATTGGATCTGGGGCTATTTGAAGATTTGTATACGGTTATTATGGAGGGATAGGTGGAGCTCACAGCATTATTAAGCTACAACGCCTGTGACATTTTTCTTTCTTCCTCGGAGTTGCGTTTGTCGTTTCTGAAATACACTGCTACAGAACAGTGGAATTGTCTAAGAAACTGTTGCCAAAGTCCACAGAATGTGTACCAGAAGCATGAAGACACTCTTGATTCTAAGCGCCATCCTCACGATCGCAAGGACGAAAACCTTTGAAAGGTGCGAGCTAGCTCGAATCTTCAAGTATGCTGGATTGGATGGTTATGAAGGGTACAGTCTACAAAACTGTGAGTTCCAGTTGCTGCTCATAAACAATTGCCCCACTTACAATCATAGGTCTGCATAGTATCTCCTGATTATTCTGAATGACATTTATAAGGTTAATGGGTAATACATTTGGCTTTGCAACATTCTAAGAACAATCATTTAATTTTTTTTAAAAATGAAGATGTAATTATGTATATATTTATATATTTTTGGAATGAAATGATTGAATGAGAGAAGGTTCACTCAAATGACTACTGAGACAATGAGATAACACAGTGTGGAGCTGGATGAACACAGCGGGCCAGGCAGCATCAGAGGAGCAGGAAAGTTGATGTTTCGGGTCGGGT